GGGGGGGGTCCCTAGGGGGGGGTCCCTAGGGGGGGGTCCCTAGGGGGGGGTCCCTAGGGGGGGGGTCCCTAGGTCCCTATGGTATCTTGGTCCGTAGGGAGGATATATTTTTAAAACGTATTTTTATCAAGTTTATTTGTCTGAAATGGCGCTCAACGTAATTCTAATTGCATTGCATGCTCGACTAGGAGATACCTCTAACCCTCTAAGCTGATATTCCAATCATTCTGCTGTATGCTGTATGCTGTATGCTGTATGCTGTATGCTGTATGCTGTATGCTGTATGCTGTATGCTGTATGCTGTATGCTGTATGCTGTATGCTGTATGCTGTATGCTGTATGCTGTATGCTGTATGCTGTATGCTGTATGCTGTATGCTGTATGCTGTATGCTGTATGCTGTATGCTGTATGCTGTATGCTGTATGCTGTATGCTGTATGCTGTATGCTGTATGCTGTATGCTGTATGCTGTATGCTGTATGCTGTATGCTGTATGCTGTATGCTGTATGCTGTATGCTGTATGCTGTATGCTGTATGCTCTTTCCTCTTCCTTTTCCTCTCTCTCTCTCTCTCTCTCTCTCACTCTCTCTCTTTTGCTGCTCCTTCTCCCGTTGCAAATTCTGTTTGGCATTTCGGTTAAAGTTAAGCTAAAGATTGAATGGCGACAATTTCTGAACACATACACACACACGCACACACAGAGAGAATGGCCCAAGTTGGCCAACGAGCATAACTCTTGGCAAAGGCATTTCATCAAGTCTTTACCCTGGAGTCTCGTTAATTACACAATTCCATTATTTTTCTGCTTGCAGATAGTAAAGTTTGCGATTTCTGCAATTTAACTTTCCCGCTACCAAAACAGAAAACACAAAGGAAAAAAAAAAAACAAAAACAAACGAAATAAAATAAATGAAGAGAACAAGAAAGATTCGTAATTATGTGCTTATGTACGTGGTCCATGGACACATCCATCTGAGAGGCATCAGAGAGCGTTCGCCTCGTCGCGCTTGGGTCACAGCTTTTAGTCATTTGGTTCGGCTTGACAAACCCGCAGCATAAACACCAACAACAACAACAACAACAATGGCCACAAARAGGACAACAAATGCTTCTGTAATGCATGGACACGTACAGCTAATTAATGTGCCTTTCATTCCCGCCACATTTGTCAGCTGCGAATTAAGCGATCTAATCGCATATGTCATCCACTTTGCGACACATGTCAGCTGGTAAATATGCTGTATTACGTGCCAGCTGGCAAAAACACCATGAAGTATTATGGAATACTATGTGTCCTTTATGAATTCGGGGCACTATAGAGTCTGGCATACTAATAAAAATTGCAAAAAAAAAAAATATCAGTTAATAAAGCTCATTGTAGCAGGCATGCTCAAGCTCAAGTTCATGTTATATAAGCAATAGACTTTAAAGAGAAGTTAAAATTGAAGTTCATGGTAAAGTTCTTTGTAAAAGGCTAGTATTTAAGTTTATGGTAAAGTTCTTTGGTAAATTTGAATCAAAAGGCTTTTGGTAAAGTTTATGTTAAAGTTCCTTGTAAAGTTTATTTTAATGTTGTCCTTGTATAGTTTATTGCGTAGTTCTTAGAGAAATTTTTTGATACATTTGCATTTCATTGTAAGGCTCAGATTAAAGTTCATGTTAAAACTTTTTGCTAAATTTCAGTGGAGCTTTTCAAAAAGCTCATGCTATAGTGTATTTTATGTATATATATATATACATACATCTGATTGAGTTATTTATGTATATATATATACAAATGATTCGGTTATTTTTAAAGCTTTTGTTGAATGAAATTAAGTATAAAGCCAGAAAGAA